GTTCTACTTTGGCTTCTTGTTTGCTATCTACTACTCTTAGTTTATCTTCTAATTCTTGTAATAATGTGTGGCATTTATGTCATAGACAACTGGGCCACACTCATGCAAAGAACTTGGATTTTGTGTTTGCTTCTAGCTCTTTACCTATTAATGCTTCTTCATTTAAGAATGTTGATAAATCTTGTTTGACTTGTTGCTTTAGTAAAATCCATTTTTTGCCTTTTCCATCTTCTTTAGAGCATGCATTTGTTCCATTTCATAATATTCACAGTGATGGTTGGTCGTCTCCTGTTATTTCATGCTTGGGTTATAGATATTTTGTGGTCTTTACTGATGATTGCACATGGTACAAATGGGTTTACTTCCATCAAAAGAAATCTAAAGTGTTTCCCACATTCAAAAACTTTCATGCCATGGTACTGAATCAGTTTAAAAGTACCATACAGATCTTATGATCTGATTCAGRRGAAAAGTACTTTGATGGAGAGCATGGTGAATTTCAAGCCCACCTTCACAGCATGGCATTCTGTCCCAGAGATCTTGCCCAAGCACCTTTCAACAAAACAAGGTGGCTGAGCACAAGAACTGTCACATTGCTAGTACAATGGGAGCCCTTTTACATCATTCCCATGTCTCTATTACTTTCTAGGTGGAGGCGACTAGTACAGCTATGTACTTATTAATCTACTTCCCTCTTCTGTTCTTGGAAATTCATCTCCATTTCAGGCACTTTTTCATCATTTACCCAACTTGTCCATGCTTGTATTTGCTTTGTTCATCTCCATTTCTTGTGTTTGCTTTGCTCACCTTCCTCCTTTGTTATGATCCCAAAGTCCATTGTCTTTGCATATCTCGAATTGTCATTTTTCTTGAAAATATCTCTTTCATTGAGCATGTTGTTAATTTACACACACCATCCTTTTTGGTTTTACATCATTTTGGCTCTGTGGGTGATCTTCCTCCTCTTAGTCCTCAACAGTTGCAAATTAATTACAAGAAACGTTCAGTTTCTTCCACACTTATGCTCCCTCCATCTTTAGCACTAGAGCCTAAGCATCCTCCTTCCCCTACTACTGTAAGTTCTCATTCTATTGACTTACCTCCTTTTGTTCCCTTACGTCATTCCACCTGTATTTCTCATTCTCTTGACTGTTATGGTTTCCTTCCCAACCATAGCTCTCTGTCTGTTGTGTTGTCCTCTGCAGACATTCTAAAGTCTTATCACCAAGTCATGGCTGTTAAGCATTGGAAAGATCCTGTGGACGCAAAAACTCAAGTCTTACTAGAAAATAACACTTGAGGTCTTGTTTCTCCTCCTCCAAATGCCTTCATCATTGGTAGTAGATGGGTTTATTCAATGAAACTCAAACCTAATGGCACCCTAGATAGATACAAGATGGTCTGGTTGCTTAAGGGTATGAGCAAGAGTGTAGCATTAACTATGATGAAACCTTTGCTCTTGTGGCCAAGATGATTACAATTTGTCAGCTCTTGGCTATCACTGCTATTAGACAATGGATTATACATCGGATGGATGTCAAAAATGCTTTTCTGCATCAACACTTGTAGGAGACTATATATAAAGCCCCCTAGGTACTGTGATGATTCACGCTTGGTAATGTAAATTGAAAAAAATCTCTTTATGGGCTCAAACAAGCTCCACGGGCTTGGTTTGAACATTTCCGTTAGTTGTTCTGGAAGTTGGTTTTTAGCAGAGGTCTTCTGATTTTCTCTCTTTACCCTCAAGCGGGCCCAAGGATTGACACTTCTTTTGGTATATGTTGATGATATCCTAATCACTGGGGATGATGCAAATGGGATTGATAAACTGAAAGTCCTTCTCAACAGCTCCTTCAAAATGAAATGCAAGAAAAGCAAGAAACAACAGACAATGTCCAAGTCATCCACTAAAGCATAGTATTGAGGAATGTCCTCTGTACGTAGTGAAATTGTTTGGCTCAAAGCTCTACTACGTGATATGGACATTGATCATTCACCATCCATCCCTCTTTTTGCTATGAACATACCAAAACATATTGAAGTGGATTGTCGTTTTCTCAGAGATCTTCTTGCTAGCTATATTTCTCTTCCCTGCGTTTCTTCTAGCCTGCAGCTCGCAGATCTATTCGCCAAATCTATGTCTCAATCCAGGTATATGTTTCTTATTGACAAACTAATGTTTGTTCCCAAGAATCAGTTTGAAAGGGAGTGTAGAGAGGGATAGTTTTGTCTTTATACTCTATTATATAATATTAGTTTAGTGTGTACACTAGACAACATTGTACTTTATCGTAATTTATTTTCACTAGTAAGGACAGCCTTTTACTTTTACTCTTTTTAATATAAAGTTCTATTTTTTGGGTTGGGTCGACTGATTGAGACCAGCCAAACATCCCACTTGTCTCTTCACCTTCTTCTCTTCTTCTTACATAGGTTAACACCCTTCACATGTTTCTTTCCCTCAACCTCATGTGGTACATGACAATAACTAAAGCATTCAACTTTTATCGCTCTAGTTTGTTTCTCTTTTTTGTATGTATCTAATATAAATACAATTTTTTTACTATTAAAAACCATTAAACAGCATAACTATCATAGAAAACATAAAAGGTAAATAAAGAAATAGATAATAGGGAAAATCTATGATGCGGGAAAGACAAGGTATCGAAAGAGTTTTGACCAATCAAAACCCACCCATGAATTTTGATAAATAACACATGATTGGCTAGCACGTTTATGATACGAGTTGGTTGGTAAAAAAATTTTCAGATATCATAGTCGAACCCTAGATAATAACCTACTTAAAAGTGCTCCAATTTCTTTCACAACGAGAAGCAATACATGTAACCTATAAGCCTCAAAACCCAAGTGAAAAATTTGTCAACTCTAGAGTTTGGATCCCAAACTATGCCCACCTACTAGCTAGAATATCACAAGACAGTCATGCACATTAGTGAAGCTCTAAAATTTCTATAAAAATAATTATGTACACTGGTTTTTAAAATTTGAAAAATAAATAAACCACTTACCAGGACTTCGCCTCTTCCTAGTATCAATTGCCATATCACAGCCAAAGTCTCCTAATTGTTTGCCATACATATCTAATTGACAATTTGCTAAGGCGCGTTCAAGCCTATCAAGGATCATGATCTTCATGTACTCAAATAATCCTTCCCTTCACTTCTCGGTCATCTGAAAAGTTTGGCTCGTATCTTGGTTGTGGACTTGTGGGTTTAGATAGTAGCCTGTTGTATGAAGGGGAACATGAAGTTGAGGTGCCCATCTTTCATCACTCTTAYTGCAAATGGGCATGCACTTCCTCTTAAATCCACCACATGCAAATGCCGCTTGTTCCTTGGTTGAATCCATCATTTCACAAAAATATGGCATTAAAGGTCTCACTTCAGAATCAAGTTCTCTCAACATTACAACAATTGGCAATGTGGTCTTCACAAGATGCTTACTCCAATGAATCTCATTCCAATTTTGAGAAGCAAACATTAATTGAAAAGGCTGTTTCTGTTTATAGATGCTTTGTAATGTCAAATAAGCTAATGGCAAATCATGTAACTGTTGAGCATAGAAGCTCTAGTTTTTTGTCAAGTTCCTCATTAAGCTTAAAGCCCATCCATGCAAATAAATAAATTTTGTGATCTGCTTTGCCTTCTCAATAGTTTCACTGTACATTTTCGTCTTTCCATATGAATCCAGCATAAAATCAATGTGATGTGCAGCATACGGAGTCCAATACAATTTAGTCCTTTTCTCCATTTCTCACAATGTTGCTCAGGTCAAGAGCATATATGAGAATAAGATCTTGCATACTTTAAAGGCTCATGTGCTTACCCATAAATCCAGATTTATACCACCTCATCAAGAAGGAATGTTGCTTGGTATAAGAGGATAAAGAAACCTCCTGTAGTTTGGTTTGGGGCTTTGTGTTTGAATGTGGGGATGATTTCATTCTATGCATATCTGAGACCAAGGATCCATGGTTTTGGAAAGTTGAGACGATGAATATTTTGGTAAGACAATTTCTACAGTACCAAAAGATATGGTACCTGAAAACTTTAATCAATCAGAAGCCCATGTGAATTTGAATGGATACCAGTAGATTGGTTACCAATTGGATGATACTATGATACCAGTTGATTGGTCATCAGTTTTTTATGTACCATACCTATTCAATACCATAGTCAAACTCTTATGGTAAATATGTATGCTGGTAAAGTCAGATGTGCATTTTGGTGAGTCACATGTGAGTCAAGTCATAGGCATGTATCAAACGTGCAAGTACATCAAAGGTAGGGTATGCATGCAACACTGCCTATAGATATTAGTAAAAACACATATGGGGTGACAAGATGACTTCCTTGTTGAAGGACATCACAAGTGCTAATTTTCAGGTGAACCACCCACCAAAAAATTAAAAAAAAAAAAAACTCTACTTTGGGGGGAATTGGCCCCTACTTTCAGGTGAACTACCCACCACAAGATATTCTAGATTTGTGGCAGTTACTGCACTCTAGGAAAGATGGAGTGCTTCTTAAATGATATAGCTCAACTCAGTCTTATTCCCATTTCTTTGGAATTATCTGTGCAAATCCTTTCCTGCCATTGTGCTCCATCAAAAGACATGTTTTCTCAAATGATAATAGGAAATGCTAAATAATTTGGAAATCAGAAATAAAGTTTGACAAGGAATACTAAAAACAGTTGCATTATAATTATAGGTTCTTTTCAAACACCATGTTACTTATTTGGCTTTCAGTTACCAAAATTCAACTTTCACACACAAGATATTTAATTTGCAATTGAGTCATTCCATTTAGTAAAATTAGAAAATAGATCAAACTGTAGAAGGTGCATTCAAATTTATTATATCTGCACCACTAACCTTCATCTTAAGTTTTTAACAACACTAGTATTTCAGTTCAAAATAAGTATACCAAAATTAGGAGCTGTTAACACCAAAATGAAAAATGCACTCATAACCATACTTGTAACCGGAGGTGGTATGTGCAAGAAGTATACGTGACTTGTTCTCAATGATTGGCCTTAACTGTCTCCTTTCTGCCTCAAGTAGTAAGTATTGATGAAACTGATCCTGAAGCTCACAAAAGCATGAAACTTGTAAAAGATAAACAATCCAACAAAAAAAAATGCACTGCTTTCGATACTTATTATTTTACATTTTACAAGACTGTGTGCAACATATAATTTACATTGCAATAATTAAGTCAATTATGATGCAACTCAGCTACTAAAAAACACTTCAACATAAAATTTATTCAACCAGATAATATTTTTACATAAATACATACCTATAATATACAGTGACTTATCAATCATATTATGGCCCATCCTCTTTATCGGGGGCAGAGTTCCCAAGGTGGAGATCAGTATACAAGGTTAAAAAGCAGACATCAAAGCAAGGTTACAAATAACAACTCCATTCACTATTTAGATCAGAGAAAGGAATGAAATAGAGGATGGACAGGTAGGTCTGGATTGGCAAGTTTGAGGAAAAAGTGGCAGGCACAAACCTTGTCAAGCCTTTGGTGATCGTTAACCTGACAGCGTCTCCTACCCTCTGCACCGAAGCATGGAGAGGGATGTCAGGAAACCAGTTTGAGGAGTTTTGATTTTCCAAAATGTGACTATGATGTGTTCAAGACCAGAATCTTCTGAATGACTTTGTGGAACTTTCAATCAGTCATCTGTCATACATTAGAAAGAGAAGAGGAAAAACAGGAGAGACGTGTGACTGGTTTTTTTGTAAGAAAAAGAAAAAGGTGCATTATAGGTGATAAGATATCACCTACTAAAGAGGACAAAACACCCAGGACAATTTTTAACTTTTAACCCTGAGCCCAATCAAAAGAAATAACAACTTTTAAGTTTTAACCCTCAGAACAATTCCCTCACCAAAAAACTCAAACTATCACCAATCTAAAAGTAGGGCTTTCAGCATTCAAATGATACTGTAGCTCTAAGTCCCAAAACACTCTTCTAGTGTATTCTTCCCCCCCTAAAACCAATAAACCCAACTTCTTACCAACTTGGAGTCCAGTTTCCACCACCTTTTGTTCAATTTTTCAAACTCTCTCCAACACCACTCCTTCCTCTTCAGCTTCAACTTCTTCTGATCCATCCTCTTCCCCCAACAACATCCCCTCTTTTGCCAACACCTCTTCAGTGAAAACCGCTGGCTTATACCCCTTATCACACCACCAACTGGAAAAAAGTTCGAAAGGTTCTCAACAATAGTGTCTCTAAGCATAAAAGTTTTTGTCTTTCATTTTTTCCTTCTATACACTTGAATTTGCTGCTTGGGCCTTCCCTTATGAGCCCGTCTTTTAACCTGGAAAAGACTTTGATAATATGAATTAGATGCTCAAAATTGGTACTCTTTGTCTTCTCAGAATTTATTGAGGAATTTGAGAAGGAATTATACTGTCTCAATGACCCAACTTTCCTTGTTCCCTACTTCTTCCTACTGAGATCTTTTTGTAATTTCCCCACAAAAACTTCTGAGAAAATTACCTTTTTCAACCAAGGACACTTACTAGCTTAATTACTAACAACAACCCCCATCACACTCCCACGAGCAAACTTCACCCTTAACAACTCAATCTTCTACCATTGTCTCTTCCTCAGCCATAGATAGGGGAAGAGAAAACTCCCCCTCTCCGCAGCAAACAAACAGAGTGTGCTCTTGCTCCTCCCCTTCCGAACTGTAAGGATTTCCTGGCTTTTTTCTATCCCACAGTTAACATCCACAGCCTCAATATCAGTAGAAAAAAGGCAAGTTCTCCATCGCTTTGGCCTATAGAGTACTTCCAACCTCCGAAGGAAGACTTCCCTATCCAGAATCATACTGATAGCACTACTCTCTTAGTCAAATTTTGTTACTTATCACCCTCCCAAATCTCATCAGCTTTCCTGTTTTTCAAATGGTTGCTTTTGAAGTTCCTCTTAGGGATCGACGTTTTGCGACCATTTGAATTCTTGAAACTCCAACACCGGGTCACCTCACCTTTTCTTTCCACTGAATCCCTCACGACGAGACAAAGATAGACCATGCCTTGTGTCTATCGAAACAACAGGACATATACTACTCACGTGATTTTTAAGTGAAGAAACCAAAACAGACTCTAATACATTCGGCCAAAACTTATCAGCCCAGCCCACCACGTAAATAGGGGCTTAAGTTACTCATCATGTGACCACCTCTTTCCCTTTTGAATTCCTTTTTAACTTTCAACGCATTTTCGAAAGCCCACTCAACCATTCCCTAGTCTTTCAAGTTCCCTCTTTTTGAACCAGATAGAGCCATTGATAGAGCTTCCACCCTATTGGTCGAAGCTTTGAAAGGGTGCCTGCCACATGCCAACCCTTCTTCACTAAAAGAGGTTAGTGTTCTCTTCTTTCTACTCCACTACTTTTGAGAGCTTCAGATTTTGTTCAATCACTTTTGGAAATAGGGTTCCATCATTCACGATGCGCACTTATGCTTACCACGTAACACCACATTATCCATCCCTTCATCTTCCCCCCTGTGAGCATCCTTCCATAGAGCGGCTTCAATAGAAGTTGCTAACCAGATGTTGTACGAAGTTTCAACGGCCAATAGCTCAATTTTCCTAGGAATGTCATCTGGTTTTACAGTGTTAAGCAGTACCGCGACAGAATGTAAATCCAAACTGAAGACTCCACCTAAAACTCCAATCCAGGCTAACATAATTGACTCAAAAACCTTCTGCTCCCAAAGATGAAATGGCAAACCAAGCACTCTCACTACCATCCCATCTTCTAAGTCATATTGTTGTGTGTTAGAACTGGGACACCAACTTGAAATAGTGAGAGCCCTAAACTTAGGGCCTGTTTGGCACGTCTTTCTGTGCAGTCTTTTGGCTGTTTACAAGCCGAGCAGACCAATTTTCGGTCTATTTCCGTTTGCGCACGGAAGATCTAGCCGCCAAAAGACGGAGCAGCGAAAAGACGTGAAAAGCCCATTTTGGGCTGATTTCGGGAAGCTCCAAATGAAGCTTTTCGCATTTTATTCTCGCGCGGAAAGACATGTGTCTGCCAAACGTGCTTCAGGCTGCTCAGATCTTCATGCAAAAGCTCAATGCGTCTTTTGACTGTCAGAGCTACCAGAAGATCTTCCCAAAAAGACGCACCAAACGGGCCCTTAGTCTGGAAGCTCAGCATTGCAACTTCAAATTTATTCTCCACCAGATCAAGTAAAGCTTTTCTTTTCTCGAAAGGAGATAAAATGACCATACCTTTTAGCTTCAATTCCTTAATTAGGATGTCAATTAGCTTCTTCCAGTCTGAGACAGCTTCTACCACTAGCTTGTTAGTACATTCCTCCTTCCCAATATTCACCATTATTTTGCAATTACCTTTAGGATCCACAACCAAAAAACCATCCTGAGTCTGATCATGAACCTTGCCACTGAGAACATCTCCCATCATCTTTTGCAGACTCTTGGATGTTGTGAATCCTCTACCCATAAGTTCAGGATCTCCTGCACTGTCATAAATCAACTCCCAGCCTTGACCATTCCTGCATTCTGGAAAACACACCATCTGCATCCTTCCCATGTCAAATAACTCTTATTTCCACACCATACTTCCTTTCTTCTTCCACCAGAATTCTTTTCAGATCTTTCCCCCTACTGGAAGAGTCCACTTCTTCTAAAAAACTTCCAAACCATTTCAAAGATTTGATACCAACTAGCAACACCAACAACGGCTTTACTTCCCCGACCTTCAAGGCCAATCTCCCATTGTATCTTAGTTCTTCGAACACAAAGTTCTTTGCTTCAGACTTCACCAATTTTCTCCTATCTCCCATGTATATTGAAGAACTTATTCCCTACATGCAAATGGTTTGGGAGGGAATAATGAGTGCCGAAGCACACAATGAGTTTTACTAGAGAGGTTTCAGAAAGAACCCCTACTGCATACACACTGTCCAATAGTCATAGATAAATAGAGTGACCTTCCAAAAAGCCATTGAAACTGTTTTTACATCACTTATTACCCACTTTTCTTCTAAAGTTTATGATTGAGATTCTTTGGTAATTGGTATATCAGTTGCTTTAGATCCCAACTTATCTATATCCTTGAGAAGATCCGAGACATACTTCCTCTATGAGATAAAGATATCTTTATATGATTTGTCTACAAACTCCCAATTTCCTGTAGTAACAATGTAATCAACATATACTATTAGGGATGCTATGTTATTTTTGTGTTTCTTAACAAATTCAGTGTGATCACTCATAAAAAAATGAGTATGATCTGCCTAGCTAAGCTACCTTTTAAAACCTGTCAAACTATGCCCTAGGAGACTGTTGACCAAAAAAAATAAGAAAAAAAAGGAAATAAGGAAAAAAACTTTCAACCAAAACCTGGTGGCTAAATCATTATTTTTGGTGGTTGAATCATATACACTTCCTCTTCCAACTCTGAGGAATGCATTCTTAATATACAAATGATAATGTAGCTACAAGAAATTTGCTGCCAAAGACAAAAGAACTCTAATGGAAGTTCATCTTGGCTACATGTGCAAAAGTTTCAATGTAATTGACTCCATGCATATGAATAAAAGTTTTGGAAACCAATTTAGCTTTGTATCTTTTTACTAACCCATCAGATTTATACATCACAGACAAGAGCAAGTTGCACTCCACTAGTTTCTTTCCTTCTAGAGGATTGACTCATTCCCATCTGTGTTTTTTGTGTAGAACATCAATATTTTCCAATATGACTTTCTTTCAGTCAGGTACTACCAAGGCCTCAATAGCACTTTTAGCAATAGGAATGATACAAATAGAGGATAAGATGTAAAATTAGTAATAGGATACTGTTTACATGCTCTTTTTTATAATAAATAAAAAAAAATCATTTATAAATAAAAAATATTACATCCAGGATGGTGATGGGAAATCACCAAAACAAAATAAGTGGAACAGTACATCAATAAAACAAAGAACACATCAATTCAAACCCACAAAACCCAACTCTAACATTGCCTAAAAGCCACTCCAAAAGAATTCTTTGTTCACCCCCCTCAAAATCTGGTAATATCAA